CTGCACTGAATTAACTGAAAACTGCATTCATCTTAACCAATCAGAACTGAGAAATTTTTTCATGTATATTATTAGTCTCCAAATAGATGTGTATTTTTTTATTTTAATGTTTGTTTATTTATTTATTTGTTGGCTCAGATCTTTATTCAATCGTTTAGCAAGACGGGACATGAATTGATGTGGTATTTTGCAACTCCATGTGATTTTGGATATTTATACAAAGATGAACCCTTCATAGTCTGTTACATCATTGCCACTTAGTTCACTTTGTTTTTTATGGTTTGACAAGTTATTATTTCGTTTTAGTGTTAGTGGAGCACAAAGAAGCTCTGTGTTGCTTTTATTTGGGGGAGAGTGATGGGAGGCCAGATGCAGCTGTGGTGCCCCACCCCTGCCAGGATGTTGCACAACCTTATTGTGTACCATTTCAAGCTGAAGCAGAAACATCACATCAAAACACAGAGTTAAATGATATAGAGACAGGCAGCGACTCTGATATTGTATATGTATCTCAGCATGTACCTGTGTCTGTATCAGTACCTGTGTCTCAGCTGCCACCAAAACGTATCATCCAAGTGCACAGGCTAAATATTAAGAAGGATTTGATTGACTTATTCCGAGATCCATTAATTATGAGTCAGGACATAGAGATAATTGTTATTGATGCTAGGGGAGTTGAAGAAGTGGGCAGAGGTGTTGGGTTGCTTAGAAATGTTTTCTCTCTTTTTGGAAAGAAACACTCCCCCATATGGCATATGATTCCCTTTATGTTCGAGAAAATGAGCGCGTACCATTTGTAAGACATGATTATCAAAGGGATGAATGGGTTGCTGTTGGCAGAATTTTGGTGAAAGCATATTTAACCTGTCAATACCTACCTGTCCTTCTGTCTCAAACGTTCCTTGGTTGTCTTTTTTGGGGGGAATGTGCAGTAACTAGTGCTATGCTGACTCAATCGTTTAGAAATTACATTTCAGTAGATGAAAAATGTTTGATTGACAAGTGCCTCACTGGTGACGTGAAGTGGGATGACGAAGATGAAATGTCCCAGCTTTTAGAAGTTTTTAGTAACTATGACTGTCGAATTATGGTAAATTCCGAGAATGTTAGTCAAGTTATTGAAGAAATAGCCCATAAGGAGCTGCTGCAGAAGCCACAGTACATTACAGACTGCTGGAAGGATATAGTTTCTACACTTCTTCCTAGTTTTCCTGATTTTGCAGCAATTTCCAAAAGGTATGAATTGTTAATACCATCCACAAGCAAAATCCTTAGTTGCCTAGAGGCAAACCCTGAGAGTGATGGGGAAAGGGATAGCCTTAAGTTTCTCAAACGGTATATTAAGGGCCTTGACACGCCTCAGAAATTATCAAAGTTTGTAAGGTTCATCAGTGGGTCTGAGTTAATGCTTTTTGATGCAATCTAAGTAAATTTTACCAACTTATCTGGTTTGGGTCGCCGACCAATTGCCCACACTTGTAATACTGTATTGGAGCTATCCTCGACTTATCAGTCATTTCCTGAACTTAGAGAGGAGTTCAGTGCAATACTTGCATCAGATTATTGGGAAATGGA